TACGGTTAACTGTTTTCAATTTGTTTTACACAACGGTTAAATTTTAAGCTTTTTTACGCCTAACGGTTAAATTTTTGGTCCTCTTACGGCTATTGGTTAAACCCCATTGAGACCCCCAAGAAAGGACCTGGGCACTTAAAGGGAAGCATCTTGCCTCATAAAGACAGGTCTCAATTTCTTTGGTTTGCTTTGCTGAGTTACTGTATTGTCGGATCTTATGTTTACCTGTAATGTCCTCCTTTGTTGCAGGCATGGCAGTATTTAGGAACAAGCCAAGCAGAAAATGAGCAAGATTTAGCTGCTATAATAGCATTGAATAAGTAAGTGCATCTGTTTGTTTTTGTTTCATCGGCAACAGAGCCGTCACAACAATCTTCAAGTCCTTCCTGTTGAGTCTGAGCAGTACGGTGCAGTACAGTTCACTTGTAAATTTGTCTTTTGTAGGTGTCTCGAAAAGCAGCCAGACAATTTAACGACACTCATGGCTCTGGCTGTGAGCTACACCAACGAATCCATGCAATCGCAGGTGACAGTTGATGTAGACTACGAGTAGTCCCTCTTTTACGTAGTCCGTCGAGTGTGACGCGAAAAAAGGGCGAGAAAAAAATTGTCGTGCGAAATCTGGGGCGAGAAGCGAAGCGCCCCCAGCATTCGAGCGGCCATTTTTTTTCTCGCGCTTTCTTGCGTCACATTCGACGGACTGAAATTGTAATTGAAATTGAAATTAAAATTGTAACTGAAATTGAAATTGTACGCAGACGTTCTCTTAAGATAGATTTATTCTTTACAAAAGGAAGGCTTTTTATCCCTTGATTATCTGGAGCAAGTCGCTGTTTATACAGTTCTGTCCTTTCATTCATTAATTTAAAAAAATTCTTTTGTAGGCCTGTCAAACTTTAAAAGCTTGGTTAAAAGCAAATCCTCGGTAAGTGGGAATGCTTCACTACATCTGAACTGTGCAGCTTTCTACCCAACTAGTTTACTACTAAAAACTAAAAACTCTATTTAACCTCTCATATCAGATACATGGACCTGGTACCGAATGAGCCTGCGGGAGCAGAGGGCGGCGCGCGGTCGCGGCTTGTGACGTCATCCATGATGTCATCGGAGATGTACAATGAGATTAAAGAGCTTTACATCACCGCTGCACAAAGAGCTCCAGAGAAAGACATTGACTCCAACGTGCAGGCAAGTACCCTGTTACTCTGTACAGTCTCTGTAACAACGCAAACGAAAGAAGCCCGGAGTAGTTGCAGAGCACTTCTCAAAGTTGTGGAAATTTGCGTTATGTTAAAAATATTTGCAAAACGTTTGCAACACCAAACTCAAAACCTGAATATTTGTATACACGGTCTTAATGATCACGGGCCAAAAATCTTCAATTTCAGGTATTTTAAAGGCCTTTCAAGGACAAAGCGCGCGTGATCATGCTGTATCGGTGAACAGACAATGATAAGAACCAATCATGCTAACAGGCTGAGTGGTACAGATTACCTTCGAAACTTAATGTTGATGTATTTTTAATACTTGGTAGCGCAATATCACGTAGCTAAGTGTGTAACCTAAGTATTCGCACCCTGACATGTACTCCATGTTCTCTTCCTCCAACAGGTTGGTCTCGGCGTCCTGTTTAATCTGTCAGGGGAGTACGACAAAGCTGTTGATTGCTTCCAGGCCGCGCTACACGCCTTGCCAAACGATGCCTTGCTATGGAACAGACTGGGCGCTACCCTAGCGAATGGCGGGCGCAGCGAAGAAGCGGTCGATGCGTACAGACATGCGCTGAATCTCAGTCCCGGCTTCATTCGGTGTCGGTATAACTTGGGTATTAGCTGTATAAACCTGAACGCTCACAGACAGGCAGTGGATCACCTGCTGACGGCGTTAAATATGCAACGAAAGGTAAATATGGACGGCAGTGAAGAATTTTTTAAAAGAAAGCTGACGAGAAGGCAATATTCTTTTCACAGATTTCTGTTTTCGCTAAGATCCGGGAGCAAGCGAAATGAAACCGAGGGTGGGAGGGGGGAGCGGAATGAATTCTTGGCTGGGGGGGGGGGG